TTTCCGGCACTCACACCACTCACAGGGCACTTCGCGGCACGATTTCCACCGATTTCACCGCTTTTCCACCGGTTCCACTACACCCGCCACGTGGCACGCACTGCACCCGCGCACGAAAACCACTTTTCACGGCACGCACTGCACGCACGGCACTCACAGAAACTTCACATTTTCACGGCACCCATTGCACGCACGACACTCACAGACACTCCACGGCACTCCCACAACACTTTCACGGCACTGCACGGCACAATTTCACCGAATTTTCCACGTTTTCACGATTTTTGCAGCAGCGCCGGCACGTGCGTCGTAGCGTCGGTCCGCCATCTTGGAAAAGGCCGATTCATGCTGCGGCATCCCAGATTTCGGTTGGCACCACTCACCGCTGCGCACTTCCGGTTCGGGGATTAGGTTGGCAGTCTTTCAGCGACGCGTTGTCCATTAAGTTGGTAGTTCTGCGGGGACTGACGCACGGCCATCTTGGTAATCGTTGCTCAATGACTGATTATTCTTCGCAGTACTACATTCCTTTGTATTATTAGCCTCGCTTTTCTACAGCCAAAACCATCTCGATTCGGTTTGCTGCGTCACTCATAACTGTTGCGATTATGCTACTGCATCGGTCAAACGACTTTTGGGGTGGCAGTACTGAATTGTTCCCGACGAATGTTTTTTCAGGTTGGCAGTCCATTTTTACCACCATACCCGTCATGTTGCCAGTACTGTGGTTACTGGCGCACGGCCATCTACGTTTAATTTGCTCCGTGACTTTACGGCGTTGGCAGCATTGCATCAGGGCTCAATGACTACGTTTCCATCGAGGGTCCAAATCGGGTCAGAGTCGGGTTAGAGTCGTGTTGGGTTCAAACGCCAAAGGTTTAGTTGAACTCTACCCTACAAAATTTTAGGGTAGCGTTCAGTTGAGGTTCGGTGGAAACGACAAGAGTCGAGTTCGTGTTGCCAACATAACAAATCCAAATTGCATTGTGTATCACGTGCTGTATTAATCGGTGTAGAAGAGGTTA